ACACACACACACACACACACACACACACACACACACACACACACACACACACGTTACCCTGCCAAGGAATGGCACTGCCTGCAGTGGGCTGGGGTCCTCCTATGTCAATGAACAATCAAGGAATTCTCCATAGGGCAATCTGATGGGGACAATGAGGTTCACTCTTCACTTGGTGTGTCAAGTTGAAAACCAAGATTAGTCATTACACCCTGTAAAGTTTTTTTCATGGCAGGGACCTAAGTAACATTAAAGTAAGAAATAATTTTTAATGACAGAAGAATACTTTTCTGTATGATATGCCATCAAGGGGTACTATCTCTAATCAGATCCTAGATGGCACATTATTTTCTGTGAGTGTGGTCAAAATATCATGGTGTTGTTGTTGTTATGGATGATAGTTCTGTTATGGCTAATAGTGGCATAATTGTTCATTGAAACCTGAAGCTCTGGTGTCTGAGTAAAACAATTATTTGAAATAAACATGAATGAAGCCTTGGAACTAATATCTTCAGGCTTGGGGACTTGATGTCACAAGTTCTAGAGTTGTGAGCCTCTGTTATAGTCTGTAACCATTTTTCTCTTAATCTCAGCCTCATTAGCCATCTTAAGACAGCATTTTCATAAACATGTCCATGGCCTACACCTCAGAAATAGGACAGATGGTGTGTCAGAGGTCGATTCTAATTGGAACACATGCCCATCTCTCAGCACAGTTTAAAACGGGGAATAGTTCAAAGAGAAAGTGATGAGTCTCCAGGAAGAAATTGGTGAGCATCTTGTGATAGAGACACCATTACCATGCACACAACTCCTCCTGCCTAACATCCCCCTCAGTTGACATCTCCTGTCTAGATAGAGTGGTGGTTCATATCCAGAGTTCAAGTTCTGCTTGGCTATCAGAAGATAGTGGTGACTATTTGATTTGACTCTACGGGCTCTCTGATTAGAGTAGGAAGAGACAATGTCGCTTATTCAGGGCAACAGGTTACCAAGGCAACATTCAGGAATGGAGATTTCAACTCTTGAATAGCACTGCAAATGTTAGTAAGGGGTCCTAATAGACCCAGGGAACACTAGCCATGTGGCTGCAGTGACCACAGGCAGTTCTCTGAGTAGGACAGTCAGATATGTACCCCTCAGCACTATTCAGGCCATGACCTGTCTGTTGAGTTCTAGGATTTTTCTCCCTTGGGACAATAAACCTCAGTGTAAAAGAGAGCTATATCTTGAGTTCAGGGATAAGACCAAGGGGGATATGATACTCTTCCCACTAAAGGGAATTCCTAAATAAAATAAAATAAAAAACCCAGTTCTTTCCAATTAATTTTGTTCTCAAGAATAAAAAGCATGGACACACTTTTAAGTCTCATTTTCTCCCAATTTATTCTTTGTTGTGCCCATATGCATCATACACATTTTACTTTTTCAAGACAACTAGGGAGAGAGAGAGAGAGAGAGAGAGAGAGAGAGAGAGAGAGAGAGAGAGAGAGACTAGAGACTTAATCAACTTTAGCATAAAATTCCCTCTATTCCCTCTAGTCCCAGGCTCTTCTCTCCAAATGGAGAAACCTAAGCCAGAAGGAAACAGCCCAAGAGGAAAATGCTTTACCTTCAAGCTATATTTTGCTTACCTGTCTTTTTTTCTTTCTTTTTAGAATGTATAGCATATTAATTGCTAGAAAGAACAGGTGTGGATGTAGGGTGTCTCTGCCTTGTTGGCCTGCCTTAACATCTTTCAAGAGCTATTTATTCAGCTCTGTTGAAAGATGGAACCCAGGGGACAAGTTCTTTCAGGACACTAGCTGCAGGGAGTGACATTTTACTCATTCCTTCTGGAGGTACCCACTGGCTTCCTGGGGTTTCAGGGGGAGCTTTGAAGGCTTTCCTGTGAACTGCTGAGTGTTTCATCAGCTCTGAGGGTCACAACCACTTACCACTGAGAAACTCCTAAGGACTTTCTTAATCTATACAGGTTTTTTTTTTTTTTTATGGCCTAGGGTAGTGGATATGACTTCTGTGAACTCCGAAGCAATAGCAAATATCCTAAGAGAAATTTGAAAATGAGCAATAGAAAAAAATGGCATGTGTTTATGGAACCCATTCCTCTTAATGAGTAAATTCCATGAGTCTATGTAATTGTAAAGAGGTTTGCAAAATACAGCTTGTTCAAATAAACCCAAGGCCACATGGTTTGGGGCTAAAGAGGCTGGGAGCAAGTATTATAGATTTTTTTCTATCTTTGTTGCCTCCGTTACAAATTTCTTTATTACAGGTGAGTGCTGGCCTGGGTCCCGGCACTGTAAGGGCTTGTGATGTGTTGAAAGTTGTGTTCTGATCTGTGAAGAAAAGACATGTTTTGGTCTCATGTTTCAAACACTAGCCTAAGACAAGGAACAGAGAATAAGAGAGGACAGGAGGAGGGCAGAGGGAAAGGGAAAAGAGAAGGAAGGTCAGGGGAGAAAAAAGAGCTGGGGCGGAGGCTGCTGGAGGTAAGGAAGAGTAGAAGAGTGTGGGGAGGAAGAAACTGAGAGCATGAAGGGAAGGGAAGTGGGAGAGGACCTGGAGGTGAAGGCCAGGGGGATACATTGGCATTTGCTTAGTATTCCTTGTACGTGCCAGGCAGTGGGCTCTCACTTAAACTGCTTCTGTAATTCTCTGAGGTGCTGCAAGTTAGATGTGGTGTAAGCCCTAAGTTTAGATGAATAAACTGAAACTCAGAGGTGTCAAATAACTAACTGCCTGAGGTCACGCAGCAAGGACCATCCAGACTATATCTTGAAGTCAGAGTTCTGAATGTCTACCTTCTTAAGATCCTCTGTGAAATGCATGATTTGAATGAAAGTTGGAGACTAACTTAACTTTGGGGTTAAGCAAGCTTATGAACATGTGACTACAGACTCATGGCTCTCTTTTATGGGTTTTAGATGCTGGTCCATTTATATACACATCAATAAAATGTAAACTTGTATTTCAGGAGAGTTTAGACCAGTATTTTTAATTTTTACTATATGTTAGTCACCAGGAAGCTCACCAAGTGGTAAGTTCCTCAGACTAGGCACTGGCTTAGAGCCAGATGTTCAATGTTTCAAACACACTAGCTCACATCTGATAGTCTAGAACATTCAGAACAGTATCATTCTGTCCAATAGCCAATATTTGAGAGGACACTTGCCTATTAATAGCAAGGTAATAATAACAAGCTGTATTTATAATTAGCTTCAATTATGAGAAAATTCCTCTTAACATTGAACAAACAGATTTCACATAATCTGCCTGGTTTACTTAAACAGAACTACATATAGAAGATTTAAATAATATTATTACATTTTATTTTTAAAGTGTGTGTGTACATGCATGTGGATGCCTGAGGAAGCTGGAAGAGAGTATGGTATTCCTTGGAGCTGGAGTTGCAGGTGAGCTACCTGGTATAGATCATGGTAATTGAACTCAGGTCATCTGAAAGAGCAGCAAGTGTTCTTAGGAGCCCCCTTTCATTTTTTAAATTTTTTTTTCTGAATGGTATTTTTAAGGAAGTGAACTTGTAAAGAAAATAACTATTTATGTTCCTTATGGATCTGGAATTTGTTCCTCAGCAGTCGGTGGGTGAGGGGGAAATGCTGGAATCCCAAACTGCATCTGTGATGAGAGGATGGGCAGCTATGTTCTTTGCTGGGTAGCCATCAGAGAACCTCACACAAGAAAAAGATACGATTTCTCATCTCCTATAGCAACATCATGGCTCGCATCGCCTAGATCAATCAAGTGCTGCCTCAGATGTGGAAGAATCTTGTGTGTCACGGTGGAGGTGAGGTTGGTTCTGAAGAGGAAGGCACTCTCAAATAAGGGACCTTGGGAGTCCTGCCATTTCTGAGGTTTGGTTTGCTTTTATCCAGCTGGTTCTTAAGCCACTAAAATCAACTGAGAGAAGAGAAGATGCTGTCTAACTTCCTACTTAATCACCTACGTAAAAAAGCAGAAGCAAGTATTTATTCATTTATTTAGAAGAAAGTTAATTACTTATGAATTTTAAAAGGCAGCGAAGGATGTGTGTGGCTATGAAGCATCATTAGTGGCAATTTGTGTATATGTTCTAAAATTTAAAACAATATGATGAGGAAAATTTTAAAAAAATATCCCAATTGTTTATTTTTAAAATAGGAACAATGATGACTATTACTATAATTTGGTGGTTATATGAGAGAGACTAATACATGTAATTTCCAAACATCTCTTGCTATACAGTCAATACCAGAGAATAGAATGTGAGTCTCTTTACTTGGCATCAGTAATAGTCCTGCTGGTTCGTCATGTGGAACTTCATGAACCTGTTGTTTCAATGAACTCTCTTTGAGTAGCACTTAAAATAAGTCAAACATAAAGAAGAAAGGGGGATGCAAATGAACACATGAAATCTAGACCGTTGCTCTTTCCTCAGTTTCCCCCAAACTTAAGAAAAGACTAAAGGTTGAAAGTATGAAGAATAGACTGCCTCAGCCTTTGGGTAGGTTGCCTAATCCTGTGTTGTTTCCTTAAGAGTTCTTTTCTGGTTCTGCTGCTCCAGCCAGGTTAGGGTGTACAAATCACAACACCAGAAACCTCAGCTTGTTTTGATATTTTTTAATGATGAAATTCTGCATTGTTTATCCTCTGTAGTGGATATAAGGCCAGAAGAGCTCCAGAATATGGACTAATTGGGAAACTGGAGAAGATGAAGGCCTAAATGTCCTTAAACACAATATGCAGCTTAAATGAATGTGTTTACATCACTGCCAAACATAGCATTGGAATTTGCATGTTGGTGTGTGTGAAGTACTGGAAACATTTTGGGTTCTAGCTGTGAGCATCCTAGCCATGTAATCCCAAGTTTCCCTTCTCTTGCCACACACATGGCATCTACTGTGTAGCTGTCAGCCCCATGGGGAGCTTTAACTTCAAAGGTTCAATGCTGCCCTAAGTTAATCGAGTATCATGGGCAGTCTTAAATGGGTACTGTGCCCAGCAGTCATAGTCCACAAGTCTTGGCCTCATTTGGAGATGTATGTTGCTCCATGGCCTTGCCTAAAATGGGGAACTAGGGTAGGACACATTCATAATTTTGAACCCAAAGTGGCTCAGTGTAGGTTATGATCACATATTATACACACAAATTTTAGGCTCTTAAACCACAGAATACACTGCTCAGAGGACTGTTACATCTGCTGCTGGCTCCACAGCATTGCACAAGTCAGCAGAGATGAGGAGCCCTCTCCATTACCAGGCCAAACCTCATGGAGTTCACACTGAGTCCATGTTTTTATTTCATTAATAAAATATGACCCCACTGTCATATTTTGGTAGCCCAGAAATGTGAGGGTTCACTTTTTTTTCTGTTTTCTAAATTGCATGCAGATAAAAGAGGATTCCTTTAGAAACTACAACCTTCTAATGATAAATAATTTTTGATTTACTATACATAACAGTAGTGCATTTCTTATTAAAACAGCAAGCTTTTTTTTACCAAAATGAAAAGAAAACATTCATATTTTATAAATAGTTTAAATACATATTTCATACCAACGTTATAAAAATAGCTTCTTTTTTCAATAAATAAAGACATTTTCATTTACATGGCAAATAACGCATGGCTAGCTAACCACTGGCTACCAGCTCTATTTTACTGATTGTCTAGGAGATGACATGCAGTAATAATTGTCCCTCTACCTTCACAAAAAGGAAAATAGATCAGTGGGAGCCATGCACCCCCGAGGCCAACAATGCTATAGATATTGTTCAGGAATGACAATCAGGCACTCAGGAAAGACCTTTGCTGCACTTCACAAATGCACTATGACAAAACTCATCCCCAAACTCTTTGTCTGGGGTGTCTATCTACTCAGACCCTCAGGGTCATTGGATGGTTACCAAAGTCTGCCAAACAGACCAGTAAGTTAATACCTGTACATAAGAAGGGTTGATGCTTTTCAAGATCTAGAAATTGTTTGCTACAGTAAAGAAGTGGATCTGCCTTTCTCTGGCCCCTTGCCCTCTTTTCTGCAGAATTCCCAACAATGCTTGGGCGCCATGCCTACTAGAGGCCCCAGAGGCCGACTAGAGCTGTCATGCAGCAGCAGTTTGGCATTGGAAGCTGCCCTTATGTGCTGATATCATACATTTATGGCTTTGCTGTCCTTTGCATCTGCTGTACTTGTGACAACTTCTGGAAAGTTCTCCAAGGGTTCTGTAGAGGCTGACATCATTGCTTCTTGGTCCCAAGAGCCTGGTAAGTTTTCCAAACTGAAGGAACTCACAGGTCCATGGGTGGTGCTGTCCTCTTCTGATCTACTTGGGAGAACCAGGTGCAAGGATGTTTCTGATGAGGAGCAGATGGAGGATGAGAGAGTGGCTGAGATGGACTGCAAAGGTGTCAGTGTGGTATCAGAATGGGGGGAGATGCACCTTAGGAACTGCAAGTGACCTTCCTGGATAACCTGGCAGTGGGAGGGGGAATAATCAAGGTTTGGAGAATGATGCAGTTCTCTGTCTGCTGGGTTTTGCTCATGAGCTTCAGTTCGTTGAGGGCTGCTGCCCAAAGAGGAGGGATCCACACTCCAGATGTCAGAGGTGACATTACCATGATAAAGCTGCGCTCCACCTGCCTGAAAATGTAGGCAAGGCTGGTGAGCACTCCAGCTCACCCTGGTCTGTAGGCTTTCTCTGGAAGGACACATTGGAGCGGGATGCAGAGAACAAAACCTTGATGGCTGCTCAGGTGACAAGATGTTTTCTAGAAGTTGCATGATGTTCCTCATATCTTTCCCTAGTTGCGAGACCTCCTGAGTCAATGTTGTTACCTGTGTGGAGAGAGCAGAGCCAACAACAATGGTCACAGGTACACAGAGTGGACAGGAAGTGAGCACTGAAGACAGGAAGTGAGATTTCTTAGTAAGAAGGCCACTCCAACTCAGAGCTAACCAAGCTCAAGGTGAGTGAGTAGGCTGGGCATATAGATGGATGTATTCCTGATCTAAAGACACACCCACTTTGGAGAGATGAGTGTGATTAGGGGTTTTAATCAGTGACTGGGGTATCATTGCAAGGAATTAGTGGCTTTGAACATCAATGACAGCTTTCACTTCCTAAGAGTGGATGGGATGCAGATAGGTACACAGATGTCACTCAGTGCCTGAAGGGGCAGATACCATGTGCAAAGTACCAGACACACTGAGCCTTGACTGAACAGCAGCTCTCTAGCTTAACATTTCCTAGGGGAGGTCTTCTGACAACAGATCCAGAACCAAAGGGACCTTCAAGAAGGAGAGGGTGGTGAGAACTCTTACCAGATTTTCTAGCAAGAGAGTTCTTGGGAGAAAGAGACTGCGAAGTGGTTAACTAGAGGCAAGCAGTATGAGCACCCAAGTGCCCTGGGGTCTACCAGATAACCAGAAGGTCCTTTAGTTGTAGCTCAGATTGTATTGTATCTGCTTTGTAGATGTAACCAACCATCTTATTAAAATAAGAAACACAGAAACAATGTAAAAGAGAAAGCCGAGAGGTCAGAGGTCAGAGCTCAGAGCTAAAATCTTACCTCCTGCAGTGCTCCTAGCTTCCCCGAAAGAGAGCTACTTCTTGTGTGTCTGTCTTTAAATAGTCTTTCTGTTCTGCTTTCTCATTGGTTGTAAACCCAAACACATGGCTTCCTCGTCACTGCCTGTAAGTACCACCCTCCAGGTCTTAAAGGTATATGTCTCCAATGCTGGCTGTATCCCTGAACACATAGAAATCTACCTAGCTCTTCTAACCACCACGCTCTTGCTAGGGCTCTAATAGCTCTGACCCCAGGGCAACTTTATTTATTAACAAACAATTAAAATCACATTTCAGTACAAATAAAATATCACCATACTGCTTCACTTGCTGTAGAGGTGAATATTTAGCATTTATCAGATTCTCAAAGAGACACAGTCCCTAAACACAAGAACCACAGAAAAGTATTCATTTAAAACAATAATAAAATCCACTGAAAGGTTGTATTCCTAACATTAGATTTAGATTAAGACAACAACAACAAAACCCCACAGAGTCCACTAGAAGACTGAATGTGGCTCCAATCTGTGCTTTCTGAAGGAAGTCTGCATCCCCTCAAACAGGACACACACAAATTTCCACTTCTTGGGTTACCCAGCACTAACACAATGTTGTAATGCTTTGCCATCTCTATTTTAATACATCATATCTTATGATGGTGTTGCTGTGAATTGATTTTACTATCACAACCCACAAAGGTTCCAATGGAAGCAGCTGAAGCCCCAAATAAATACCATCAAGATCCAAACAGAGCAGTCTCAACATCATGATACCAAAACCAAAACTACTGTCTGGGGCAGGCTGCCAGGCTTCTTTATCTCTCTGTCACACACACATTTAAAACATATCTATGTATCCAGTTTTTGTACAAATGTATACATTATGATGAGTATGCCCTTTAAGTCCTCCACTCTCCCTCTTCTCTCCCCAGCCAGTCCCTTTGTTTCCCTGGATAGCTTTACTTTCATTGTCTAGACATTCCTAGTTCATCCACCCCACTTTCTGTGAGAACATTCTGAAACTAATTCTTTTTTAAATTTATTTATTTTTTTTTATTAAGAGATTTATCTATTTATTTTAAATATCAACCTCAGATTCCCTGTCCTCCTTCCTCCCACCCCCCATTCCCACCTCCAAGGCAAGGTCTCCCATGGGGAGTCAGAGAGCCTGGTACATTCAGTTGGGCCAAGTCCAAGCCCCTCCTCCCTGCACTAAGCCTGTGCAAAGTGTCTCACCATAGGCACTAGGTTCCAAAAAGCCAGCTCATGCACTAGGGGCAGGTTCCAGTCCCACTGCCTGGGGGCCCCCAAACAGTTCAAGCTAAACAACTGTCTTATCCAGACAGTCACTTATCCAGAGGGCCTAGTCCAGTACCGTGGGGGGTCCTCAGCTATTGGTCCACAGTTCATATGTTTCCACTACTGAAAGTAATTCTTTGCAGACCCAACAGGAAGTGGCCCTGCTCAAATTCAGGCATTTAGAAAAGTCTAGAAGGAAGTCATTCTGTGGTTCAGGCCACCAACTGTTAACACATTCACTCAAATTTTAAGAACAAAACTCTTTGTGCTGGTGTGGAACTGAAGGGAACCAAATGGATGCTTGTTTGGCTTATTTTCAGTGGATCTGCAACTACTGGAAGCAGAACATGCCTCTCCATCTCATGATGGAGTGGAAGAGTGAGTATGAAGAAATCAGTAATTTCGCCAATTCTGCATGTGTTGATCACACCCACTCAGGGTCACAGGATCCATGCCCCACATACATGCGGATGGTTCTATAGACTCCTTAGCTCCATTATCAGCATTTCAAGTTATGTTCTGCCACCAAATGAGATGATAGAAATCACATCTGCATGGCTCTCTCTGTGGGCACAGTGAGCCCATTCCTGAATCAAATTCACCTGGGTTGGTGGATTAGCTGAGCTTTCAGTCAGGATGCCCCCATGTGGTGGTTTGAAAGAAAATGGCCCCCAAAGGGAGTGGTACTATTAGGAGGTGTGGCTTTGTTGGAGTAGGTGTGGTCTTGTTGTAGGAAGTGTGTCATTGTGGAGATGGGCTTTGCGGTCTCATGTAATGCTCAAGCCATGCCCAATGAGACCCACCACTTCTTGTTGTTTACAAGTCAAGGTGTAGGATACCTGGCTACTTCTCCAGTAACATATTTGCCTGCATGCTGCCTTGCTTCCCTCCATGATAATAATGGACTGTAAGTGAGCCACCCCAGTTAAATGTTTTTCTTTATAAGAGTTGCTATGGTCCTGGAGTCTCTTCATAGCACCATAAACCCTAACCTTTCATTCAGAACTGGATAAAGATAGAGCACTGGAGGACTGAATTTGAACTTTAGGTATATTAAGAATTATAGTATTCAGTGAGAGTTTTAACAAATCTATAATGATACAACATTTTAATGATCAAATAAACCAAAGACAAGCAAGGTTCAGTATGTGAAACCTAATACTGAGTCCCAAAAGTGAAATGATGTTTTATTTTAAAAATGAAAAGTGTGTGTGTGTGTGTGTGTGTGTGTGTGTGTGTGTGTGTGTGTGTATGCACATGAGTGTGGTGCCCTCAGAGGCCAGAAGAAAGCATCAGATCCCCTGGAGCTGGAGTTATGGGTGTTTATGAGCCCCTGACATGGGTGCTGGGAATGGAACTCCTACCCATTGCAAGTGTAATGTGGTTTCTTAGTTGCTGAACCACCTCTTCAGCCCCCAAATGGTATTTTTTAAAGATTGCTTATTTCATGAAAGACATCAAAATTCAGGCCTTATCTTTTGCTGTAATATGTTTTCACATTGATTCTGAAGGAGTTAGGAGATGCTTGCTAATGTGTTTAGAATCTCTACAGAACACAGTGACATAAACCATTGCCTCATGGATAAGAGTTATATAGACTGTCAATTCAACATCAGATAAGTAAATAGTGTAATCTCAGAAAACAATTCCAGACTGATTAAACAGTAAATTCTCTTCAAAGCAAATTATATGAACAACAACAACAAAAGATTTGCTACAGGGTAAACACCATAATTCAGAATAAATGCATTTCTAGCTTTCAAAATAAAAATTTTCCCTTTATTTAGAGCCATGTTCTTGACATCTAACTTAAACTGTACAATCACCATAACTTTTGGGCCATGAACTCTGAATGGGAACCCATGGACTGCCCTGGATCCAGGAATATAAACACATATTAACTGTTCCAAAAGGCAAATTACTATCTTAACTGGGACTAAAAACAACATAGGAGTCAAGAAAATAGAGTTCTTAAGTGATGTGAGGGAAGATTTCCATCATTGTGCTCCTGGGGACACGCCCCTGCACCCTATTAAAGTTCCACGAGGGAATTAATCCTTTGCAAGGACAAGGTCGGTTGCCACAAAGAGAGACAGCATCTCCTGAAGGCGGAAACGATGGTGACATTGATGGGGACAGGGACTTCCACAGAAGACACTGTGGGTTTGAATGCAGTGGTGTGTGCTGGTTCCTGCTGGGTTTGCTGACAGAGTCTATTCTAAGATAGGAAAGACTAGTCCTGATTAAGTATGAGAAACAAAGAGTTTACTTTTTGAGGGTGGTAGAATTCAAGCCTCCACCTTCTTAAAAACAAACAAACAAATAGAATTGTCAGTGAAGATTGTTGAGGCTGCTTTCAGTCTAGGACTGTCCAGTTACAGAGTCAACATGAAACTTAGTGCCGGAGACTGTGAAGTGAAGCAATATAGCCAAGCAGAACCATCCAGACCAAAAAAGGGAAGCTTTCTTCTTGCCCAACAGCAACCTAAAATCCTTACATATTTCTGCCACTCATATTAGAAAACATGAGTCTTCCCAAGACCCACCTCTTTTCTATCATTTTTTGTTTGTTTGTTTCTAGAAACTTTGCACACGGGAGGCTATATTGATGTGGACTTCTGATTCAAGGTAGAGAGAATGGATAAAAGGAACATTATTTGATGTGTATTCTCCACTTGTAGATTGCTTTTCATGCATTCATTTTTTTTTCTTCCTTCATCTCTCTTTTTCATTCTTTCTCTTCCTCCCTTTTCTTTGTCCCCTCTCATCTCCCTTCTCCTATGGATGAAAACCCAGCAGTCTGGATTTAAAACTGTTGGCCAAACCAGTTTTACCTTTACCACGTGCCAGCAAACTGCTCACACCCAACATTTCCTCTTGTCCCAAGTCCTGCCAGAAAGGGGAGCAAGGAAAACACTCTTTGTGCTTCCAAGTGACTCCCTTCTCTGGTCCTGACACCAGAGCATCCT